TCCCAGGTGAAGCCCTGGGGCAGGGTGTAGGGCTCCTGGCGTATGTTGTCCTTGTCAGGCTCCACTGGGCCGTGGGTATTCACCACCTCTCCTGGAAGAAGAACGGAGCTGTGACCCTCTCCCCCTGCCTCCTGGGGAGGGCGAGCCCTGTTGCTAGGAGCCTGTGGTCGGGGACCCACTGTACCCGCAATGGCAGCCTGCACCTCCAGCGGGCTGTGGCCCCGTGCTGAGGGCCAGCCCATGGCGGTCAGAACAGTCACTGGGATCGTGGTGGCTGGTTTTCTGGAAACCCTTTCAAAGGCCTGCTCAGTTGCTGAATGGCCAACACTGACCTTTACTACGTCGGCTTTGTGCCTGCCGGGCTGTAAAGAATAAGAATGAGGCCTGGGCCCGGGCCATCCAACAGGAGGGTTTGTAAGGAATTGCAACAAGGCAGTTTTTGTGTCAACAGCTAACACAACACTCGGGCCCATTCCTGAATCAGATGACAGCATTCAGGTGCCAGGCTCAATCCTGGCCATTCCACTTGGCTTTCAACAAAGGGGGCCATAAAACGGCCATTGCCAACACAGGTCCTCGGTGTCGACAGCTCCCTGGTGCCTCTGAGCTGACTCACGGAGGCTATGCACCGCTGCTGGAAAGTGACTCTGACCCAATAACCCCACCCTGGACAGCATGCCCCTCCTCAGGGCCTGTGGGTGCGCTCAAAGCCCAATCAGACTCATCTGATACACCTGGACAAACAGATCAGCCCGTGCTGGCCCTATGGGATTGATGGGTTTCCATAGCCCGGAACTCATTATCGGTCCCATTTGGAAGAAGGTGTTCGAGTTTTCAAAAAGTCCCCACCTGAATGTGGTAGCAATTGTACAATCCTGTTCGATGTGATAGAACTAAGGAACGATATGCTATCTGTATTAGCTCCCAATAAAATGGCTCTTAAATAAAGAAAAAAGCCTCTACCCATTCAGTATAGACCTCTGCACACACTAGGCAGCCCCCTTTCCTGATTTTACTACTTTTCAGAGCCCTAGCTCAAAACCTCATCCTAGTGTTATGAAGGACCCCCTCCCCGGATTCCCGGGCCCTGACCGAGGACACCCGCAAGCACTGTGAGGAGGGACTGATACCGGCCCCCTTCACGAGGACGAGCAGAAGGAAACACAGGAGCCCGTCCAGTCAGCATCCCCCTTTCTGGGGAAGTGTGACTCACGCAGCCGTCACCGCCTCTGCTGCGCGAGGAGCCACGAAGCAGCACCCACAGAAAGGCGTCCGGCCACCTTCGACTCCCACCTGTGGGTGGGCGGCGAGAGCAGTTCCGGGATTTGTCTTCCCTGGTTATGAAACGGACCTTTAGATTTAGTTATACACGAATCCTTGGGATTTCATGGGATAGATGTCGGCCCACTTCCAATTCCTTTTCATGGATATATAAATGACAAAGCACAGGTTGGAGTCGATGAAACTGACGGCTAAACCCTGGGAGTCCAGTGAGGCACCAGCAGCTCAGCTCTGCAGGGCCTTGCAGTGAATGTATACCCTTTCCAAGCCACACTTAGCTTGAAACATTT